GGGGTGGGGCTGGGATGTTGACGTTCATGTACACTTGCAGATGATGTCGATGCTACGCCATGTTTCTTTACTGTGTGTTGTGTGGGGTGTGGATGGGGTGGGCTTGTCTCGTTTTTTAAACATCTTTCCTGCCACGACCTTTGAGCAGTCGATACACATATTCTTAGGACATGTATGCGTATATCCATACCCCCCAATTCTTAGGGTATAGGTTCTTAAAAGGGCATGGTTAGATTGGCGCTTTGATATGCCAGCGAGCTGCAATTGCCAAGACTAACCCCTAAGAGTCACGAGAGGTGATGTTTGACCATTGTCCATGTTGTTTCGATCAATCGACCGTGCGGGAATTTTCCGATTCATGATGGTGTGTAGTTGTTGACATAGACAGGTCGTAGGTGGATTGTAGGTGTTTGAAGCCCATTGCTTTTCGGACAGACGTGGGTCCACCGTTCCACTGGCCAGCTGTTGGTTGGCCTACAAAGACTTGATGCTTCGGTGTCCGTTGGCTGCAATTGCAGCTGGTGGGGAGTACTAGTTTGACTTGATACTTCGCAGTTTTGGTTCTTTTTTTCAAGTCAACTGGCACGAAATTCGTTTCGGACATGTGCACAGGCATGGTATCAATGCTCTAGTGGCTTTTTTTTCTGCATACAATTTTTTCTCATGATGGTTTTCGACAAGGTTACATTTGGACACGTCTTTTATTTTTTTGCTATAGCCATGCTGACGGATCGACAGATCCTGGCTTTCACCTGGCTGATATGGCTCCGCACAGCCGCGGTGCGTCTCCCTCCGCTGCTGGTGGACTGGGCCAACCCTTCGCTAGGATTTCTCGATGAAGTGCACGCTGCCTTGTTCTTGGAGAGATTGTGTTTTCGTCCATCCATATGTGTGCTTTCTGCGTCGTTTCCATATAATTCTGGACTTGTTCAAACACATGTATATACGGACCTATTGACCTCGTTTGCTGCCATTGACGACATGCAAAGCACGCCGGCCATGCAGGTGCTGACCTCGCCCTTCTGTGGCGATGAGACCTTGCTGGCGACTCAGCAGGTGGTCTATGCCACTTCAAATTTGGACTGGCAGCAACTCACGGATGGCTTTGTCTTATTGAAGGATGCCTGGCTGCGTTTGCAACGTGTCTCTCCACTTCCATCTTCGGCGCTTGCCGCTGCCATCCGTGTTTTGTCGCACCGTCTGTTCCTGCGGACAGCTGATTCTTGGGGTTGGAGCCGAGACGATCTGGTTCGTGCTGCTAATCCGTTCTGGCTGAGCAGTCTCACTGAGTCCCAGCGCAAAAGCACCAGTGCGAGCGGAGTGGCTAGCAAGTCCGATGTGCAGGATGAACTGTAGCTTGGACATATTCGTTTTTTTGGGTGTGAGGGACCACTGACACTTCTAGGCATAGCAAAATGAAAAGGGTTTCATTTGCAAATGTTTGCCCATGAGCCGCAGGCAGGGTCCACGTTGGACTAGGCCTTTGCAAGTGTTGCGCTGCTCGAGCGTCATAGACTTGGACTCAGAAGTTGCCATGGAAGAAGATTCACCTAGTGATCGCAGTGACCTTTCCGATCCGGCTCCATTTGACTCTCCGCCGCATAGAAGGCAAAAGGTCGAAAGATTTTGGCAAAAGGAAATTGCTGCTGTCAATTCCATGATCGAAGATCTATTGACGTCTGAGCAGCCACAGTTCGCTACTTGCCACTCCTTGGCAGAATGGTATACTTCGGAAGTTGCTGCCGCCAACCAGTACATAGAAGATCTCTTGACTCCCACGGAGACTGCAACTTGTGAGTCTTTGGACCAATGGCGCGCTGCTGAAGTAGAAGCCACAAATGAGTATATAGCAGATCTTCTCACACCCAGTGCCCCGCATCCTGTCCCGGTGGCTGCTGGCATGGTGGTGGAAACTGAGGAGGATGCCATTTCTGACTTTGACGACGCAGCTGCATCCTCTGTTGCAGTTGCGCGAGCAGTTTTGTACCCACACTTGCACAGGCATTCGCAAAGTCGTTTGTGGGGTTCCATTCTCATGAGATGCACTTTCTTTAAGAGTAGGTCCTCAGATGGAAAGCCGGAATGTTGGTATAACAGGATGCCATCTTCTCAGGAACGAGAAAAGTTCCCGAAGGCAATCCTCAGAGAGCAAGCACAGATTAGGCAAGATGTGTCCTGGCAGCTACGCAACCCGCGTTGAAACACAGGGCCTGCAGCGCTCGATGGATGGTGTTTTTTGTTTCTCATGTCATGGAAGCAAACTCACATATATTTTCGTTCACGGTTGCTGAAAAGAATATGTTATCACAATCACTGTGTCAAGACACGTTTGAGCCTCGCAATTTTTTTCTCACGCCATTTTCACTCTAGCCATTTTTGGCGCAGATCCTACCCCAACAATGAAGCGCCCTGCAAGTAGATGTCAGGGTAAACAGCTGCACCGCTGCTGTGTTTGCCATGAAACTGGCCACCGTGTGGATACACGCAAGCACCCCGCAGCCCAGAGAATCCAAGAGCTGCAAAGCCAGTTGAAGCAGTTGAAGCAAAGACATGGATTGAAGCATCGGGTTCTTCGACAGGAATCCAAAAATCGCAAGAGTCCCCAGGACAACCGGAAGACTTACCGCTTGAAGCAGCAAGAGCTATACAGTGGCACCCGTGTTCGTCACGCCTCCCCTGCAGAGATTCGTCGTCAAAAGTCGCAACATGATTTGCTGCAAGGGGCTTTGACCTCGGAAGCCTCGTCTGTACAATGGTTGCTGCAGCACAAATTCATTCACAGGCCTCGCACTTGCGATGCTTGTGAGCAGAAGAAGCTCTACGAAGTCTTCGAGTCTGACCACAAAGGACCTGTAGAAAAAACATTGTTTTTGTTTTTGAACTCCGGAATCACTGTTGAAACCTCATGAAAAAAGCGAACCAGCCGCTATGTGGGTACATGTAGCTCACCAACTATTTGCTTTAGGAAGCAAGTAGTTCAGATTCTTGACTTTCGAAGTTGTAATCCAGAAGGACCTCATTGGCGTGGCCGACGTATGGGCTACCTCTCCCAGTCTCTGTTTCATGGTTTGAAGATATCTGCCATGTTGTTGGTGAGGCTCTTGCATTTGTACATCACGGTGGATTTGCAAGTGCAATGCAAAGTGACGGACCTGGTGGCTCATTGTGGCTGTTGCAAGGAGCAAGCCTTGCATTTCCTTGCCATCATGAGAGAAGCAGAAGCCCATGCTGGTCGTCAATGGGCAAGTGAAGTTCGCCTACGTGGTGACATCGAAGTCGACGCCACGGCTTTTGGGAAGTTCTACATCTCCAAGAAATGTACAGCCTTTCGCGCCCAGATAGATGAAATTCAAAGTCGACGCCGCCAAAAGGGCGAACGTGATGCCAAAGCCTTTGTCGTCACGCTGCAAGTGCTGGGGGCCATGGAACGGAATGGGAGCACTCTCCTCCATCTGAGCGATCCTCGTGTGCCTCGACTTGTTTGCATTCTTTAGTTTTTCTTCACAATGATGTATTTATCACAGATCTTGTGGGTGTCTGTGCACCATGTCACGTCTAGCATGTCTGACCACTTCCATACTGTGGTTGCTGAGGTTCTTCCCGTGGGAGTCCGGCGGCCTACAGAGTCTCTGCTGGAGGTCAGACTTAGCAAATTGCTTGACTGCGTGGTGAAAAAAAAAATCCACTGTGTTCGCAGACGGCAATAGTGCCTGGCGCACGGAGGCTCGGCGCTTGGGCTTGAGACATGTGGAAGTTTGCCATCAAAGAAAAGAGTTCGTTCGCAAGGACAGAAAAAAGAAAGGCCAGACAGGCTCATGTATGGCTGGCACCCAGAAGCTAGATAGATGTTGGCAAGCTCTAAAGAAATTCGTTCCTCAGTCCTTTCCTCGGAAGCTGGGCAAGGCTGAGGCTAGCAGATTGCATCCGGCCATGCCACTTTTCGTGGAACAATTCATGTGGCGGAAGTCCGTGGGCAATGTGACAGCACAAGGCTTTCTGTCTGAGTTGGTGAAGATCTTCCAGAGCCGTGGTCGCAACTGAAGGAAGAAAAAGATTTCGCAGTCGCCGGCTCTGGTGCAAAACCGAAGTAGTTTTCTCAATTTCACGCAATGTCATTTTTACATGTGGAAATCAGAAAATGGCAGTTTTACCTCAGTCACGTGCACATTTGCTACACTCCAAATGCTCAAATTCCTCACGGCCCCGAATCAGTCGTGAACCGAGTAGTTTAGGGGGTCTGGGGGGGGTGGCCCATAAAAGGTACACGTAAACTCGGCACATGCTGGGGGAGGAGGGTGGAGAGGTTGTTTTGGAGGTGATTTTGGAGCGGGTGGTGATGCAAGAAATGCAATTTGCATCATTTGCATCATCCTGGCACCTTGCCAGGTATATAGTTGGCACCTTGCCAGGTATAGATACCCAGGGTAGCTACAATTCAGTTGCCAGGTATGTACTTCAAGTTCCCTTTCCATCATCTGAATGGTAAGGTCTAGTTGGCACCCTGCCAGGTTTAGATACCCTGGGTAGCTATAGTGCAGTTACCAGGTATAGTACTTCAAGTTCCCTTTCCATCAACCGCTCGATAACCTTTACACACGCACAGCAATCCGCAGCTTTGAAGTCTCATGCGCGCGATACCTGGGAACTGAATTGTAGCTACCCTGGGTGGGTATAAATGCTATGTTGCCATACCTCTTACACACCTATAGAAGTTCAAAGCACGAATGAGACTTCAAAGCTGTGGTTTGCTGTGCATGTGTAAAGGTTATCGAGCGGTTGACGGAAAGGGAACTGGAAGTACTATACCTGGCAACTGAATTGTAGCTACCCTTGGCATCTATACCTGGCAAGGCGCCAGCTGAGTAAGAAGGGGGGTTCGGGGGGCTGGACTGAGAAAGCACACTCGAAAGTAGGTGGTGTGTAGGGGTGCACGCAAGCAAGGTTTTGGAGGTGCTTTTTTGTGATTTTAAGAAATGCAATTGTCTTCGGTTGGTTGCAGTGCTATACTTGGCAACTGAATTGTAGCTACCCTGGGTATACAGCGGTTGACGGAAAGGGAACTTGAAGTACTATACCTGGTAACTGAATTGTCGTTACCCTGGGTATCTATACCTGCGCCAGGTGAGTAAGAAGGGGGTGGCCTGAGAAAGCACACTCGAAAGTAAAAACGCTGGCTTTCGTTTTGCGGCTTCTCAGGTGTGTTTGTGGTTGTGTGCTGGTTGAGGTTCGGCGGGGAACGCTGCCAGCCAGAACTTGCGGTCGAGGTCCGGCGGGGAATGCTGCCATCCTGCACTTGCGGTTGAGCTCCGCAGGGGAACGCTGCCCGCCGAAGCTCGCGGTTGATGTCCGGTGATGAACGCTGCCCCGCGACCTTCGCAGCTGAGGTCCGGCGGGGGGGCACTGCCACACGACCCTCGCAGTTGAGGTCCGGCGGGGAACACTACCAGCCGAGGCTCGAGGACGACGCGGGGGACGACAAGAACGAGGAGGAGGAGGTTCACAAGCTGACAGAAAATCTAACAACCCTCACCTGACAGGTGGGGAACAACAGCCCTGGGCGCATCTAGATCAAAAGAACAAAAGAAACAGGATCAAACAAAAACAAGAACATTGTCAAAAAAAATTAGTCCTGAGTAGGTCGCCTAGTATTGGTCCGTCCCCTGGTCCACCCTGGTCCTTTGGTCCCCTGATCCCTTGGTTCCCTGGTCATTGAGTGATTCATGACCCACTGGTCAAAATACGTTTGTCGCTGGCCCTGCTGCGGTTGTCCTTCTCCTAGCCAGTCCTAGTCTCTTTTTCCTTTCGTTGCTGACTGGGATTCTTTTGGATCTCTGTTTTTTCTATTTGTGACCCCCGTCACCGTCGAATAGTTTTTAATTGACGCTGTTTTTGTCCCGAACCAGAGTTATTGGTGCCCTACTTCAAGACCACTTGCTCAGCAAGAATGTGTCTTTGCATTCCCCGTGAAATCTTTCATGTGGCCGGCAGGCGTGCACCATTTGCCGCTGGGCTGCAGTTGGGAGGTTGAGCCACATTCATGGTGGGTTCGAAGATGTTGATACTCACCTCAATATTTCAATCTCAATGGTATACCACATCAAAATGCCGTGAGTGATGTCACATGCTCACTTTTGGGGAGCTGAGGTTTGGATGCCTATGCAGTGGGGGATCAGGCTGGGTTTTCCTCCAGGCTTGAAGACGGAAACCAGTTTTGTTTTTTGAAACCGACCGCATGTGATTCCCCGCTGTATGTGTAGGTTTGTTTGTCTCTATTATACATATACATTCCGTCTATTTTCTGCATGTATATTGTATTTTTTGTGCAGGTTCTTTACAAGTTGTAGCCCCTGCGTTTGGAGTGCCAGGCTCCACAAATCACTGAAACTCACCCAATGATCAGAGCAGAGTACCTGCCCCTTACAACCATATATTTTCGTAAACCTTCAGCAGAGTGCCATTCGACCTACGTCACGTCGTACGTCTAGCCCCCCCAACACTGTATAGAAGGAAAGCAGTGGAAGACCCATTGGCTGGGACCCGAAGACCCACAATTTTTTGGAAACTGATATTAATTATGCAGATCAGATGAACAGCAAACATCTCATTCTGGTTGTCATGGTTCTGTGTGTATGGACCACTCCCCTCGAATTGATCTAGAAGAATCCAAAAAATATGTTTTGATGTCGTTCCCCCATTTTCCGCCCCACGCCATTCGTAGTGCCAACGGTTTAAGGTTTCAGGGTGGGTTTTAGACAGGCAATAGGCTAAAATTCAGAACCTTTCCCTCTTTATATCGCTGAGTTCTTCAGACAGCTTCTCCCTTGGGAGTTCAGGTGAAAACCTTGGCCTGCGGATGTGTTTTCCATGGCGGCTGCATGGAGCAGTGGGGGCAGGCACTACTTGAAGTTTGCGTGATTCTCCACAGTGCAAGTTGTGTGGGTGCTGGACAGAAGTACCACCCACGGCACTGTCTTTGGTAACTCGTTTCTACAAGGAAGGCATGTTGATACTTTTTGTCAAAATCACATCATTGATGGGCTTCCTTCCCTGGTAGGCCAACGATGGCTGCCAACAGTGTGGTAAACCCTGGCGCCCTGCAGTGAGTGCGCACCATCGCACCATGGCATCCGACCAGTGCACCAACCGGCTGTCGGAGTGACCGACACCCACGTCAGAGGCAAGCGCAGAAGGTGAAGGACAAGATTCTGGAGGGCTTAGATGGACTTAGTGTCTAGTCCCTCCTTCCCCATCAACAATTACCTGCAACTTACAGCACACTTGGACAGAAGAAAAGAGTCTAAATATTGGTTTGAGAATCCACGGCTTCCTTCAAATTCAGAGCGAGAGGACCTTGTTTGCGCGTCAGTGTCAATTGGGTAACAGCATTTCAGCATTTGGGATGCAAATTTGCAAACAGATGGTTGCTTTGGGGGGGTGAGGCTTTGTTCTAGAAGATTGCATGACATGCTGTAGAGGCATTGCCTAACTGCACTATTTAGGCCTCAAATCTTTAAGACCACAATATATGTGTGTGTGTGTTTTTTTTTTTTTTTTTTTTTTCGTTTTTCTCCGGTAGAGGCCAAACACATATTATGAGCTGTTGCTTCGAGGTGCATTGGAGGCAATCCTGAAATTTGCGGAAACCACTCGAGCAAGAACATGCAATACTCCAATGGTGAGCAACACATGCTTTAAGCTTCCTCCTCATTCTCGCGAGAGCCTCTAGCCCATGTCCGCCCACGTCCCATCCCAGGCGTGTAGCGCCAGCTCTCCCCTCATGTGCCATCGGAGTCTAGAATTCTTGGGTATTTGTATCAAATTACAGATCAGGGTTTTGCAAGTGTTCATATATACAATATAATATATATATATATATTGATCAGACTTTTGGCGCAGCTAGCAGCCAGTTGATGCGCCCCAACTCTCAGGAGTTTTGGTTATATTACTTGATGTGCCATGAGAAGAGAGTCCCTTCTCAAATTTGCAACTGGTGACCGTGGCATAAAGTTCGGGGTCCAAGGTCTCAAGAAGTCTTTAGTCCGTGAAAACCTCAGGAGGTTACATCCTATTATATATTTTGGTCAGGGAGATAGTAATAAGTAGCATTAGAGTGTTAGATCCAGTTATTTTTTTTGGAAGCAAGGGGCAAGGCAGCAGCCGAAGGCCTGTGAGGGATGCTGACATCAACACTTTGAGAGCTCGATATTTTGCAATCGCTTTGTACAGGATCCTGTCGATTGCCTGGAAAAGAACGTGTTCATACCACTTGCAATCAGAGGTGAACTGTCCAGAAACATGTTGCACCACAAAACAGCACAGCTTTCCTCAGAACATTTGAAGGCAAGTTAAGCAATAGGGGCGCATCCCCTTTCCTCAGAGTTGATCCCAATCCATTTGGGCTGCAAAGGTGCAACAAGGGCTTGATCCACCAGTACCAACCAGCATTCTGCATTCTTGAGTTCCCGATCTCCTTCAATGATTCCCTGGAGAGCCAGGAACCACTGATGCTGAGGAGTTTGTCGACCTGGCTCTTTTTTGCGTTGCATTGTTCCTAGTAGCGTGGCACCTGTAAAATGTATTCCAAACGTTTTCGGGGAATGATCCCAGACCCTGAATTGTTCTGCGGACCCGAATAAGAACTTGTTTTTCTTCCATGGAACTTGTTTCACAGTTTTGGCCACTAGGGCGATCCGGATCCCAGGGTCATGGAATGTCTTGGAGGTTTGATTCTTAAACCGAAAGCGAAACCCGAAAGTTCCAATGTGACATGATGCGACCTGTGAAAAGTAAGAACTAAACCGGAGGAGAATTAGTAAGAACCTGAACAGGGCGGAACAGCATGTTGGATCTATATATAGGACTTAACAGTTCACAGTGCCAGAAGCTGTGCTTGAAGAGAGTCCCGCGGGGAGGAGGGGTGAACGGCAGTGAACGATGATTGCTCCTAGTAGCTTCTTGTTCCTAGTAGCGATGCCAGGAGCCCCTAGCAGCGTCCTTGCTCCTAGTAGCGATGCCCTTTGCTCCTAGTAGCGAACATTGTTCCTAGCATCCATTTCGTAGCCAGGTTCGTGCACTTCTTGACGGAGTTCCGCCGGATGCAGATCGAGAAGTCTGGACGAAGAGGGCCCCCCCTCGACTGTTTGGTGTCAAAAGGTAGCTGCAAAACCCAGTGGAAGCTTCTTGTTACTACTAGTAAGGCACTTGTTAGTAGAAGCGATGCACTTGTTCCTAATAGCTTCATATCAATGGTTATCAAAGTTATCAAAGGCTTTGGATGGCTTTGGTGTTTTGATCGAATTGTGATGGGCCATCGCGACCACGACAATGGAACAACTGCTAATCTTGCTTTGTGCTGGAGGAATGTTGCCTCTTTGTAAATACATAGATTTCCCACTTGTGTGCTCAAGCAATTGTTCCTCCAAGCTTCGGCAATGAGCATTTAAACAATATATATATATATCTACTTCCGGATTTGAACTGCGCGGTTAGAAAGGACGCGGATGAGCAAAGCATAAATCAAAAGTACAAGTGGGAGAATGGTTTGAGCACCATCAAAAGAGCAAACAAAAGTTCGGAATCCTCAAAGGCTGTGAGGTCGGTTGCACCACAAAGATGCTCAGGCGTGTGGCACGGGAAAGCACCCGCAGCGCCTTCACCCGGTGTGCTCAACGTTGCTAGACCGCAGCTGGTGGGGAGTCTGCGAAGGTAATGGGTGTTTAAACCTATTTGACTCGCTTCCCCATATGCACCGAATGCTTTGGTTTAATGTTCTCCTATTCCTATTCTGAGAGTGTATGGGTCCATGTAGGTACCTGTTGCAGGCATTGGCATTGGCCACAATCACCATTTTGAAAACTTTTGAACTAATTGGTGGATCAAACACGAGACCACTCTGCAAAAAGAAAGAAGACACACCACGCACGGGTCACCAGGTCACAAAGGTCCATCCAACCGAGATTTGTCGGGCAGAGCTGTTTTTCCACCGAGCATTTTCACCGAGAAGTGGCCTCCAAATTTGCGGTGGTGCCCAAGCGCTTGGTGAACCTGGCCAACGCCAGTGGCCTCAGTGACTTCCGCCGGTGAAGGTCGCGTGAGTGTGAAGAGGTTGTTTCACTCGCCGAAAGGAGACATGGAAGAATTTATGCAACAAGAATAGCAATCAAGTAGGAAGAACGTGTCATATGTTAATAGAATTTATGCAATAGTTGTCATATGTTGTCATACATGTTCGGTGAGAAAGTCTTGGGGCACTTCTGTGGTCCTAGTGGGCATTATAATATGCTTGCAGGGAGATCCCATTTGCTGCTAACATGTGTGCAGTATAGGGATGGCTGGATGAACAACCAACCATTAACGCGTGTCCACACTCTTTGGGGGTCATTTGACCTACAGGCCAAAGTCAGCAGTTCGGTTCGTAGACAGCACTGAGAAGCAATTGTTCGAAGTCTTAGACTGGAGGAAACCACCACTGGCTGAACGAATGAAGTCCTGTCTTGTACTATGTGGAAGCAAAGGAACTACTGAACTGAACTGAACTGTTTGTGATTCGTGGGCATTGCTCTCCCTTTGTGTTCCCTGTGTTACTTTTCAACAGCAGGGTAGAGTGGCTCTTGGACAGCGCCATTGGTTCTTTGTGAAGGATATGGCCATGCCACAATGCCCATACCGTAGTTGCTAGTTTCTATATGTTTCTATCGTGTGGAGGCGTTTTGGTTTGAAGGACAAGGCCTTATTTGTCAAAGATCAAATCACCGCTATTGGCTCAGAGGAGCACCGAGCCGGGTGGTCCCTCGCATGGAATCTGACAGCGGCCAGGCCATCTTGGATACGGTCCGGAGCTTGAGGGTGCAAGAAACATCGTAAGGCCACAGTGTGCGGAGACTGCGTGGGTTTCAGAGGATGTAGAGTTGCCTTTAATTGATCTTTGTAAGTGGAACATCATTTTGTGGTTGATGCATATATAAATTATACAGGCAGCAATATGCACTTCTTGCGTCCCTTGTTTCGCACCATTTGATGGATCATGTTGCACAGATTTTTTAGGGGTCCTTCAAATTCAACCGCCTGGGACAGTGACTTCAGTGGTATGTTCAAAATAGAGGCTGTAGATCGTTTGCAGCATTTCTTGCCCCATTGTTGATCACCGGCTTGTCATATGGCTGACACCCTCTATGCAACACAACGCCATTTGTGGTATGTTTACCCGATACCCTTCACCCCTTCCCGACATTGAATCTAATAGCTTCTTGTTACTAGTAGTAAGGCACTTGTTACTACTAGTGATGCACTTGTTCCTAGTAGCTTATTGTTTCTAATAGATTCTTGTTACTACTAGTAAGGCACTTGTTACTACTAGTGATGCACTTGTTCCTAGTAGCTTATTGTTTCAAATAGCTTCTTGTTACTACTAGTAAGGCACTTGTTACTACTAGCGATGCACTTGTTCCTAGTAGCTTATTGTTTCTAATAGCTTCTTGTTACTACTAGTAAGGCACTTGTTACTACTAGCGATGCACTTGTTCCTAGTAGCTTATTGTTTCTAATAGCTTATTGTTACTAGTAGTAAGGCACTTGTTACCACTAGCGATGCACTTGTTCCTAGTAGCTTATTGTTTGTGATAGCTTCTTGTTACTACTAGTAAGGCACTTGTTACTACTAGCGATGCACTTGTTCCTAGTAGCTTATTGTTTCTAATAGCTTCTTGTTATTACCAGTAAGGCACTTGTTACTACTAGCGATGCACTTGTTCCTAGTAGCTTATTGTTTCTAATAGCTTATTGTTACTAGTAGTAAGGCACTTGTTATTACTAGCGATGCACTTGTTCCTAGTAGCTTATTGTTTCTAGTAGCTTATTGTTACTAGTAGTAAGGCACTTGTTGCTACTAGCGATGCACTTGTTCCTAGTAGCGGATTGTTTCTGATAGCTTATTGTTACTAGTAGTAAGGCACTTGTTACTACTAGCGATGCACTTGTTCCTAGTAGCTTATTGTTTCTAATGGCTTCTTGTTACTAGTAGTAAGGCACTTGTTACTACTAGCGATGCACTTGTTCCTAGTATCTCATTGTTTCTAATAGCTTGTTGTTACTAGTCGTAAGGCACTTGTTACTACTAGCGATGCACTTGTTCCTAGTAGCTTATTGTTTCTATTAGCTTATTGTTACTAGTAGTAAGGCACTTGTTACTACTAGCGGTGGACTTGTTCCTAGTAGCTGATTGTTTCTAATAGCTTATTGTTACTAGTAGTAAGGCACTTGTTACTACTAGCGATGCACTTGTTCCTAGTAGCT